TTTTTGACCCCCATTTTTGGAGGTGCGCCGCATGCAGTGCGCGCGCGTCGTGCGGGATGCGCGGTGCGGCGCACGTGCGCAGTGCAGCGCATCGCGATGCGCCGCAAGTATGGTTTGTATGCGTGGACCGAGAATATATAGTCTGGATTCGAATTCAGGTCTGTGCATTATGGTTATGGGTCACTAATTCTCTTTTTTGAAGTTTTTTCTCATTTTTCTTTTCTTAGGAATACGTGCAGTGGCCCTAAGGGCCTCTATTCACCACATGCACAAAAGACAAAACATATGGCGGCGTATTTTTCCACGTTCTAGCAGAATATTCATTCTAATTTTGCACATTTGGTGAGTAGTACAGCCAAGCCCTGAGAATCACGTGCACAGACCAACAGGGCCTAGCTTAGTGAGCAACCCATAACTGCTGAAACACAGACCTGAATTTGAATCCTGAGTATATTTTCGGCCAGCTCGTGCTTCACGCCATATTCACTGCCTGCCTCGATTTTGGTGGAGGGTCTGCGCTAAATTGCTCCGAGGACCCTTCAGTTTACCTGCATGGGCCCTCTGATACGTGTGTGTGTGTGTGTGTGTGTGTGTGTGTGTGTGTGTGTGTGTGTGTGTGTGTGTGTGTGTATACATACACACACCCCTTAAAAAAAAAAATAATAATAAATAAATTGAGCGCATCACCGCATCACTAATTTGCGCATGGCGCACACGCACCGCACGGCGCACCGCAGAAGTGCGCCGCAAGTATGATCTGTTCTGATTAGTTATAAAAAAAAAAGAAAAAAAAAGAAAGGCAAGTTCACATTCGGGCCCCTGCTCCAGCAGTTTGCCCCGGAGTTGAATGAGTAGGATCTTAGAGGCTGTGGAGAGTTGATAGCGTACTGTAGAGGGGGTTGAGCATGGTAGGTAGATGTTCGGGGGTAGGAATGGCGGGTTAGGTGTACTGTAGACCGAATTTGAGATCTGGGGAGGGGAGGGAAGGTAGATTTGTGAGGAGGGGAGTTATTGGGGGGGGGCACGGGCCCCCTCCCTCCCCCCTCCCTCCCCTGGAGTTTCTAAGTGGATTTCGGCTGTACTCAGCAAGTGCGCCGTAGCTCTAAAAGTCTCTGATGAGAGACAAACATTTCAGATAGAAGTACGAATGCAGTGGGAGGCGGGACTGAAAGAGCAGTTTAAGCAGGAGAGGAGATACTACTCAGTGGTACGCTGGATCCAGTATCCAGCAAGTATATGCAACATTCGAAGAATTAGAGGTAAAAGAACAGGATACTCTATTGACCAGCCCAGCCCTAAAAGAGCAAAGCTTGATCAGGTAACCGGGTGTATTGGCTTAGGCCTGTTGTGTGTCTTAAGTTCTTCACCCACCAGTCTCTTCACGCCTATTTCGTCGAAACAAAAATTTCCACCGGCCCTGACCTGCCGGACCTGAAACGTTGAGCCTGCCAAGTCACAGGGACTCTCATCGACGTATCCATTCGTTTCTTCTTCAGATTTTTTTCAACTTTTTGTCCATGCAATTAGAATTAAAAATCGCCAAAATTGGGGAAGTCAAAATTGAGTGCAAACCACCAAGACCCCACTTGGGTCGAGTAGGCCAAACCTTTGCGCAGCCTCCGCGTACAAGGGCGAAGGCTGCGCAAGGCCTCAGAGACACTGGTGGTTAAAGGAATGTTTTAAAGGCTATAATATTATAAGAAGGGGGGGTATTGGCTAAAGAAATGGGCTACACGGGGTTGGGAAAGTCAGAATTGTGTGCAAACCCCCAGGACCCCACTTGGGCCGAGTAGGCCAAGCCTATGCGCAGCCTCCGTTGAGAGGATGGCCTTTGAGACACTGATGGTTAAAGGGATGTTTAATGGCCATAATATTCCAAGAAGGGGAGGTATTGGCTAAGGAATGGGCTACATGGACAGTTGATCCTCTCAACAAGGGAGCTATCACTGCTGCCAAGGTTCCTGTGGTCATAACCAGGGAAAGTGCTGAGTACGGTGAGTAGGATATATTACCCGATCAGACTTCAGTCGTCACTTGACAGTTGAAATGGAGCCGAACTGATGCGGCCCCTGCCAAGCCAGTACATTGAAAGTGCAGCGTCCTTGTCTACCGGTGGAAGTTTCCGTTGAGGGACCCGTCTAATATAGTGGTGGTTTCAAGGGGAAAAAAAGGGGGGGGGGAAGGAAACAATAGAAGAGGAAAAAGGGAAAACACATCATATGGAGGTGAAAAAGGATTGTTTACATCCAAAACCTGGACAGGGCTGCAGTGTAGACATAAGACCCTCACCCCTGGCAACAAGCTGCTGTCTCTGAATTCACCCGGTGGAAGGAATTCCAAAGATTCTGAAAACATTGCATTAATAGTGAACGTATCTTGCACAATCAGATTCAACTTCTCTACTGTCCTTACGAGGTGCGACTGCCGCAACATCCATCCGACATAGCTAAGAGCCTTCCGAAAGTGACCTTGTACGATGTACCATGTGATGAAGGACAGCACCGCACTCCCTGCTACAATCATTGCCTGCATTGGAGGCATGCAAGGTAGTTAGGAAGCATTAAAAAAAAAAAACACAAGGACACATAGCACCTCACTCCACTGTCTCTTTGCAGTAAAGAAACAAAACCATGACACTTTGACTTCATTCCACCCACTCTTTGTCATCAATGTTGAATCTGTATCCTATTAGTATTATCCATAGCTCCTTACAATAGCTCCACATAAATGTATCACCATAACAGTACATACATGGAGCTTCGTGCCCGAGAGTACAGAAAAAAGCGAAAAAAAAAGGAAAAAAAGGACCGAACTGAAACAAAGCCCAAACAAAGAAAAAGAAAAGCAAACTGAAAGGACAAAGAAAAATTGTGAATAACCCCCTAGTGTTTTACCAATTTGGCCGTAAGTCCCCGAAAAGGATCCTTTCATCAGCAAATCCCTCTGACAAAGGCCTTGACAATGGCCACTTCATTTATAGGACCCACACGACAGCTTTACTGACGATTTACCGGGGTCATACTGGGGATACATGGACAATTTTAAATGTCAAACCGGTACGACTTCTGTGGGATTTATCAACGAAAGACCTCTTTTGGGGGGGTTGGACATCGGGGGGTTATTGGCCATTTCCCAAGTTAAAAAAAATAATAATAATAATAATACGGAAAAGGAAGCCGAGACAGGAGAAAGCAGAAGGGGGGCTATGCAAGGCTCCAGGACTCTGCAAGCCCGGCCCTAAGCGAAGGCTGCAGCAGGAAAAGTATGTCAGCCGTAAGAGAAGCCTTCCATGATACAGTTCAAGGGAAGCCTGGACCCCACTGTTGCATACCGTATAGGCGCAGACCAGAACAAGAACCGACCTTTCAATACAAAGTATAAGATAGCACAGCGGAAGACTTAGATACCAGTGATCCGAACA